CAAATCTGAAAACAAGAGAAAGATTTATTCCATGAGGATAATTATATATAATATTTGAGTAATTTTTAAAATTTGTAAAATATCAAAATTAGAAAAAGTGTTTTCTTCCTTCAGGGTTAAAAAAATTGAAATAATATAGGGAATTATTTTAATAAAAATTAAGATAAAGATTAATGAGTAAACAGAAGCATATATTATTCCCCAAAGCAAGAAGAAGCAGACATGGCTAAATTGATTCTTTTATATCCAAAGAAGAGATTATATTTAACTTTGTTTCTATTTGGAAATTGCTTCTGGATTTTGAGCTTGCAATGAAAAAAAAATGAAACTTTGATTTTGTTTTTGCTAATTAAATAGGTTTATTGTTATAGAAATGACTAGTATATACTGCTGTGTAAAGATATAAAGTTGAGGTTATAATGTTGTTATCTTCTATTGTGCTAAAGAGAGTTGGAAGTGGATGCCTTTTTCTTTCCTTTTCCCTCCTTACACCAAGTTTTTCCCTCCCCCTTCTCCTCATTTTTATTGCTTTTTTGAATTTTTCTTTGTATTTTTATTTAAGAATGCTTTCTCTCTGGTTGGCTTACTGTATATATTCACATCTGGTTTTACAAAAGAGTACATTAATTTATACACAAGAGATGCCTTGGATTTTTTTTTTTAATACTAATAAGGCAGAGCACAGGACCTGTGATCATGAAGCCAAAAGGATAGCCTTTGTTTAAACTTTAGGTGACTATTGCTATCAAATGATCAGTAGACATGATCAGTATTGAAGTTAGACAAATTTGGTGATAGGATATGGATGGAAAAAGTAATTAGCTGCAAAAGTTAAAATTACCCTCAAATGTCTTTGGGCTGTATCTCAGTGTAGCATTTATCTGCAGTGTTTTGGAATTAGGATATATGTGACCAGCTTGATGCCTGTTAATATCTGTGTTGTGTTAGGCTTTTTAAAGTGGAAATGGTGCAACTCATTTCCAAAGCCTTAGTAAATTTACTGGATGAGAGTGATGATAAATAGCAATGTTATTAAGTACTCAACTGGAAAGGGGCAGCAATAACCCTTTCTCTTTGTTCTTGCTACTGCATGCCTAATATCCAGGAAAAAAATATGCCTCTTGAATCTGGACTCTCTTGAATAGGGGGATAATTTTATAGCCTTTTTCTCATGCTTTTCTTCAAAGGAAAGATATAATATTGTACTGGATTTGTTGTGATAAGTACAAAGAGTATTTTCCAGGCAAGCGAATATTTACTTCTCACTCAAAATGCCTACACTGAAAATGATTGAATATTATTATTATTATTGTTCTAATCTCTAATGAAACTGGGTTAGGGTTAGGCTATCCTATCTATCAGTCCTTCCACTCTCATTACCCTACCCCAGTGATGGCAAACCTTTTAGAGACTGAGTCCAAAATTGCAACCCAAAACCCACTTATGTATTGCTGGGTGCCAGGTGGTCACGGCCGACTGGGTGGGCGTGGCCAGGGTGGGCACGGCCACCTTGATGTTGCTGCTGGGGAGGGATGCCTGTGGGGACTGGGCAAGACTGGGGGTGATCCAGGGAGACTCTGGCAGGTGGGGTGGTGGGCAGGAGGCTTGTCCTGCAGGGTGAAGTGAGGCAAGGGAGGGGACAGGATGGGGGTTCTATTGCTGCTGGGCAAGGCAAGGCGAGGCAGGGGCAGAGGCCAGGGCAGGTGCTGGTTGCAGAGAAAGAGGGCCTCCGGTGAGGAGGAGGAGGAAGAGGGTTTAAGCAAACTTAGCAACCAGAGTGGGGATCCATCCCAAAACAAACATGCTTTGCGGGTAACCTCGCAGCCCAACAGAAGATACCAAAACCTGCTGCAATCACCCAGCAGATGGGAGTGGAATAAAAACCAAACAGCCCCCCCAATTCTCAACAGAAATGCTCATGACAATGAAAGCCTCGGGCAGGGGGAAGAGCAAGGACAGGTGGACATCTTGCTCAGCTGATGGCTTGGGGGGGAAGGGGGAAGCTACACCCCTCCCAAATGCTGCCCTCTCATGAAAGCATGATGAAAACTCCAAAAAGCGACAAGGAAAAAAAAAGTTAAAATAGAAGAGTGTATTAGCAGATACAACTGATATAAAATCTGGATGAAGAATGGTCAATAAAGCATTCTTGGTTCTCTATTTTATCTTTCCTAATAAGCCGTAACCAACTTCCTCTCTTCACTTTGCAAAACCTGTGGGTCCCACGCCATTCTACATACCTGCAAGAAAGCAGCTGCAATCGGAGTACTCTTACTGTAACTTTGAAATGTGGCACCACTGATTTAACTGCTGTCACACTGCAAGTACAGTTGGAGTTTACAGTACTGGTTTATCCAGTATGTGTTATTTATTTTATCTTTCTTCTCCTTATACAAAACTACACCTTCTATATGCAGAATGGAAAGTTGGTGTGGGTTTCTTGTCCAGTTTTAGTTTCCCTCTGCATCAGATTGGCCACTGGAGTAAAATAATGCCAAAATTTGCTTTTATCAAGTATTCCTATCCCAGTTTGGGGGGGGGGGGGAGAGACAGAAATGCTTTCTGCTATCTGAGGGTTTGTATTTAATACCATTTCCAAAGTTGAATTCCTCAACATATAGATTATTCCTTTAAGCTGGTTAAACCTCCCCCCTGTCTTTTCTCCCAATTTAGGGACTTCCATTCACAAAAGAATAAAAGAATAGCCTGCCCTTTTCCTACCCACACTCCAGATATTGCACATGTTTCCACGTGATTCTGGAACTGAAGTCGTTCGCTCACTTCTTAGCAATATCCACCAAACTTTCTGCACCACCTTCCCCCCCCTCTACCGCCCCCCCTAAAATCTTAAGAAGGGCTTTCAATCATCTTGCACTTTTTACTCACTGCCTAAATTCTGTGATTCTCGCCCCTGCAGAGTTTTGCTGTGGGAGGCAGGAGTTGTTCCATGCAGAAAGGAAGGAGCTCTTCTACTAAGCTGGAGGGCTAACTTTGGCTTCCCCTGACTCAGAGGTTCCCCTTCAAATGTGTGCTTAATTTGGCCCCCTGAGAGAAGCCGGGCTTCCCCTTCCCCCAGCTATCCATGCCAAAGCACCCCTTAGCTAAGGGGAGATGGGAAGGCAACACAAACCCGCACAAAGAGAACTCAGCACTTTGGTGAGTTTCATCCCGCTGCAGCACTAAAACCTGGGGAGTGCCGAAACTCACTTGCAAGTCCTGGGCACTGGAGTTTCCCGTGTAGCCATGCCAAGCTGTGCTGCCAGACTCCCCAGTGGCCAGCAGAAGGGAGATCGTGGCAATCTTTTGTGATCTTTTATTCCATTCCCTCCCCGGCCCTTGAGCTTGTCTTGACACCTCTTTCTCTGCACTGCTTCTGGCTTTTCCCCTCTCCCCACCCAGCTCTTGCAACTGCTTCCTGACTCCCAGTGCAGAGAGAGAAAGAGAGTGAGAGCGCTGGCACATGTGAAGAGGGGGAGGGGAGCAGCCCAACCCCATGTCCCTCTGGGGCAATGGCGTGCGTGCCCACAGAGATGGCTCTGCGTGTCACCTGTGGCATGCATGCCATAGGTTCGCCACCACAGCCCTACCCTATTTTATCTAGGGTACAAAGCTATTCTATCTATCAGTCTCTGCAGTTGCTTATCCTTATTCAGCTGCTGTTGGATTTAGCTAGAATTTTATTATAGCAAGTTGGATGAAAAAGCAAAAAATAACCAGTTAGGATAAATATGGTGATACAACATTTGCTTTTTCTGCTTTCTCAATCAGACTGTAATTTAACAATTCTAATATGTGTAATTATGCCATTATTCAAGACTAGCTCTTGTGGTGAAAATTGTAGTCATTAAGTTTTAATTACAGAATTTGGTAGGGTGACCCTCTCCAACCAGGTGTGTATGAAATATAAAACCCAAATTATTCTATGAGGCAAGAAAACACTGACTGAGAATTTGGTGAATTGCAAGATCAGACTGAAGAAAAGATCTAATGGTTGATTGATTTCACCCTGTTTTTAAAATGTCACTCTTGCTCTCCTGAGTCATTCAAATGGGGCATGTTGGGTTACGTCTAATGCTTCTTTAACATTTTTAGCCTTCTTTCAAAAATTTCATATATGAACTTAATTTAATAAATTTATTCATGTCTTCATTTCAAAAATAAGAAGCTAGGAATCAATTTGTTTGGAAACATTCCTAGTTACATTCTCTTTTGTATCTTAAAATAATAATATCTTGTTATATCTATCTGGATTTGTCAAATTGTAATTCCTTGTTTGAATAGTTTATATTCAGATTTGTGGTGACAATCTATCTTGGATTATCTAGATTTCTATCCATCACTGTTTTTCCAGATAATGAATTGCCTAGGAAAATCCAGGGGTCCACTTTGATCTCAAAATATAAGTTAAGTTACAATTTGATGATAATTGTCCAGAATTGGTCAGAATATAGTGTATCCCACTGGCTCAAACAATTTCTATGCAATTGTAAATTAAAAAGAGATGAGGATAAATGCAACTTTCAGCATCACTGTTTGAATAGTGAATGCCTTGGCTAATAAGACTTGCTTACAATGTTTGCCTAAAATAGTTCTTTTCCTTAAAGCATGGGTGTGAAATTCGATCATGTCACAATATGTATTGTGATGTATCGCAACATTTTTTGCTTTTGCGGAGCCTGGTGGGCGTGGCCTCTATATGACGCATCTGGCTCATGGGCTGCCTTAGAGTAAAGGTAGAGTAAGGAAAGAAAGCATCATGTTTCAGACTTTGCAAACAGAATGGGAAAAGAATTTGCTTACTGTTTGCAATTTACCCAGTTAGCAGTTATCTATAACACAGAAATAAGTTAATTTGACTTGCAGTATAATGTTGTAAGCAATCAGGTTTCACGTAACAAGATCAGTGAAAATGATACAGCATGAATCAAATATATTTCCTAACCAAATTGCTTTTATTTTATGTGCAGATGGATTATGCTCAATTTCTTTCTGTTTTTCAGAAATGTGCCACTTGCCATTTGCACATCAATGGTTATTGTCACAGTTGGCTATGTCTTAACTAATGTGGCCTATTTTACAACTCTCAGCCCTGAGGATATACTAATCTCCAAGGCAGTGGCAGTGGTAAGTTGTGATAAAAATACATATAGGAAATTAGAGAACATTATAATATATTGAAAATAAATTCTTTGATTATAAGAGAAGAACTACATTTCTAGGATCTATATTTTAATATTAAAGAATATATATATATATATATATATATATATATATATATATATATATATATGTATATGTAATTTTTTTCTGTTTTTTTTGTTAGACCTTTTCTGAACGTCTACTGGGAAATTTTTCCTTAGCTGTTCCTATTTTTGTTGCACTTTCTTGTTTTGGATCTATGAATGGTGGTATATTTGCAGTTTCAAGGTAAGTTATTCTTTTGCAAATAATAGGTAAAATAAAAGTGAATGGAATATAGAAATATATTGTATATCCATGCACACACATGCATACTTACTAGATTTATTTCTTCATAGTCGCTTAATAATTGAATACATAGAGAATATTATATTTTTCCTTCTGGTTTAGCTACCACTGAGCACGATATAATACTAAAATGAATGAAATCTGTAGAACAATGCATACTATTGTACAATTCCCATTTAAAATAGATTTATCATTGTTCCCATTGCCTGGTAATACTTCACTAATACTTGTATAAATTATCAGGAAAGATAAAATAAAGCAGTGCTCAACTGTTCCTATTTCTGAATGCAGACAAAGATGTAGATTCAAGATAGGTTTTAGAAGGTTTTTTTCCCAAGCTTCTGAATTTGCTTTCTCAAATTATTTAACTCAGCTTCTCATGCTTGTATTGCATAGAAACAAATAGTACTATTGAGGATAACGTTGAATGTATTCTGTATCTCTGGTGAACTGCTTCAATTAATCTTGGTAATGAGCATCTTTAAAAGCTGTCCAAATTCATTTTCCCATCAGGATGTTCTACGTTGCATCCCGTGAGGGTCACCTTCCAGAAATTCTTTCCATGATTCATGTTCACAAGCACACTCCTCTGCCAGCTGTCATTGTTTTGGTAAATCATATAAACAAATGGCTCTTTATCAAGACTGTATAACATGGTCCTGCTCGGAAGCGTTCAAATGTAACTTAAACACTACTTGAAATGTGGTTATTTATTTCCATTTCACTATGTTTGGAGCTATAGAAAATAAATAATGAGATGATGTATTCAAGAACTTTCTGCTAGTTGCCCTTAACTCTCAAAGGCTAGCACTTAAATCAGACTGCTGTATTTTATTTGAAGGTTGAATGAGATTGATTAGTTAAACTCTCAGTGGAATGATACTTCCTAGATAGGAAGCAGACTAATGAAAGTCTAAAGACTGGCTATATGCTAATGTGCTGTTTTGAAGATCTTAAGTTACATTCTACTGGTAGATATTTTGAAGAAAATGTAAACAGCAGTGATAGATAAAAAGCATTAGCCCTCCTTTCATGGTGCTAATTCTAGGTAATTTATATACATACAGTACAGTATATAACTACCTTTTTTATATCACCAATCTGCAATGCTGAAATAAGGTGTCATGTTGGATAAAGAATCACAGTTTTATTGATGACAATGAAAATGTACTACAGAACTTGCAATTGGATAAGTGGAGGAATACATACTGCTTTCTCACTGTCACAACTATCAAATCCAATAACAATGCAAAAGTCCTGTCAAGCTGGATAGCCCTAATCTTTTAGAAAAGTTTTGGTCAATTTAATAAGCACTTATATTTATAAGTTAATCCGGTTGCAGCACAAACATCTTCTTCCGTGACTGTATAAAGAGAAAGTAAATTGACTGAAGAGAATAGGGTCAGATGTTCTTATAGCCACTGTATGGTATCTCATTGTAGAAACAGTATAATATTAGAAAATTAATTATTCATTACCAGTCAGTGGAGAGAGATCAGAAATAAACTTGGCTACAAGCTCACATCCAAGTTTATATTGTGGTGATTAGGGCAGTAAACATTTCTGTCCTTTGCATCAGTAGTCTGTGTCTCAGCAGTCCTTTTAGGTGATTTACTCCCTATTAGAAGGTGACAAACAAGAGCAATGAATAGGCCACTGAAAAATTTGGCAACTTTCCACTAATAACATTGGTCAAATTTATTGAGGTTTGGACTTCATATAGGCAGGATAAGAGACATGACAAAGATAGAATCTTGCAATATTATCTGTCATCAATTTTATTTCATGGATTCTGAGGAATTGGATCAGGTCCTGGACAGTATGAGCTTCACCATGCATGGGCTGCATTCACACTCATCCAGTGTCCTTTGGGATGATTGGATCAAGTTCAGTGATATTGCTAATGCTCTTCTCTTGGGGAAGTCATCTTTAGATCCAGTCATTTTGGATATCAATTGTCTAGTGTATAATATTTTTCTGTGGCAAAGATTTTGGAGAAAATGTTAGAACTTCTATTAAAATAGTCTCAAAAAGTGGATTAACTGATTTTTTTAGTAAGGGAGGGGAGAAAATTCAACGTGGTTTATGGTGGATCCAATACATTGTAATAAGCAACAACTTGTGCACCAATGAAGCTTTTTTATTTTTAAATTATTTTTCAGTACCCTCTCACTATGATCATGCTCTTCACCAGTGATCTCCAAAGCCTCTTGAACTTCCTCAGTTTTGCAAGATGGCTTTTTATAGGATTGGCAGTTGCCGGGATGATCTATCTCAGATATAAACGTCCTGATATGCCTCGTCCTTTCAAGGTAACCATGGTTTTCCATAAACAGGTTTTGTTCAACCCAAGCCCTGTCTTTAAAAAGAGATCACCTAATGAAAATATCGTTATTTCTGGTTGCTCATACATATGAATTTATTCATATGAATTTATCAGTTCTCTGAAAATATCTTCTGAGGCCTTCCTTAGGAACAGCCCCAAACAAGATGGTATTATGCCACCAGTCCTACAGCAGGCTACTTTCTTGTCTTCAACAATGTCCAACACAACTATTGTAATAAGCAAGTTTGGGAGCCAAACAGGTTTAGTAGCAAATGTAGCCACATCCTTCAACATTAAACTTATGAAGAAGTGTTAAAAACTATTAACAGTATTTCAGTCATTGTGTCAAATGGCAGTTGCCTGAACTGATTCTCAGCTTGTGCTTTTAAGGACTAGGTATCACAGCTAGACCTTAAATGATTTAAGTGTTGGTTAAAGAACACAGTTTCTAGTCCTTCCAGTTAAAGAACATATTTTCTTCAATATTATTTGATACAGTAATATCTTGATCATTGTTTTATACTGTGTCATGATACAGAAATTATTTTCCCCTTAATTTTATTTTAGATTTATTTCAATACTTCATTGGGACTTTATTGTTAATGGTCTAGTGGTTATGGAGCCAGACTAGAAGCCAAGAGAGTATGAGTCTTGCCATGGTCACGAGAGCCAGCTGGGTGATTTTGGGTCAATCACACTCTATCAGTCCAACTCACCTTACAGGATTGTTGTTGTGAGGAAAATAAGAGGAGGAAGAAGTATTAGGTATATTTGCTGCCTTGAATTATTTATAAAAATAATAAAGGCAGGATAAAAAAATGTAAAATAAAATCTAAAAAAAAATGCTTTTGTTTTGCCAGTAATGAACACTACATCATTCATGAAAACTGAACTGTTTAATTAGGTTTTCCTTTATTTTAAAATATATTCCAGTTTTTTTTTAATTTTAAAATATTTTGTATTTCTTTGAATAAAGAAGTATGGAATATTGTAAGTACATCTTGCTATCAGAACTTGTTATTCATTTCTAAAATACCATTTAATTTGGCAGTCTTTTACCTGATGATATATTGATTTGGGAGAGCTGGGAAGTTAATCAATATATAGTGAAGAGTTTTAAATCATAGACCATACCCTGAAAATCTTGTTTCATTGTAAGACTGATTCAAATAGACAGTTTTAAAATATTACATTCTGATTGCCATTGCCTGTTTATTATCATTTAATAGTAGACTAGCAAAGCAAAAAAGTGCTAGGAAAAGAAAATTATACAAGCCTTTCAATATACATTCTGTACAGATTTGTGAGAACATATGATTAGCCTTAATGTATGACACTAAGTGTTGTGTCCTGAGCCTGCAAATGCAGGCTCGGGACATTGCAAGGTTCCCAGGCAATTGCAAAAGCTGCCCGGGACCAGACTGAGTGGCACTGACCGAGCACGCATGCGCAAGATACGAAAAGTGTATAGTGATGTTGCCATCTTGTCCGGGGAATTGGGACGTATAAAAGGAGGCCTGCATGCCTTTGCTCATTGTTGGAGTTTGAAATAAGCACAATAAAGAGCTGTTCAGAAACATGTATATTCTTCATTCGCCATCGCTCCCAGGACTTAATACTGGTGACGAAGGTGGGATTCTTAACAAGGAAAGCTAGACGGAAACTTTAAGACTTACCCAAAAGAAGTCCTGGAAGGAAAAATGGCGTTAAATTCAGCAGCTATCCTGCCAGTACAGCGTCGCTGGAGGGTGAGTTTGGCTGAGAGACCCTTTCCCTGCAGAAGCGAGTGGTGAAAAAAAAAATGAACTACAATGGTGAAAATCGGCCGCTTGTCAGAATTCGACATAGCACATCCGAAACGATGGGAATCCTACATTGCAAGAGTAGAGAACTATTTTAGGGTTAACCAAGTTTGTGAAGATGGGCTGAGGTCTACCATGTTATTGTGTGTATGTGGCCAAGAGACTTTTGAAATTGCTGAAAACCTCATGGCTCCTGCTTCGCTGGAAGGTGTAACGTATACAGACTTAAAGAAACTTCTAAAGGAACATTTTCAACCCAAGCTGTCCATCATTGCATGGAGGCACACGTTTGAACAAAGGGATCAGAGAGCAGGAGAATCTGCTAAGGACTTTATCGCAGCATTGAGGTGAACAGCTAGACTGTGTTAATTTAAAGATTTAGAGGAAAAACTGCGTGATCATTTTGTGTATGGACTGAGAAATAGAGACTTACAGCAAAAGATCTTCATGAAAGAAAACATTTCATTCCAAGATGCTCTATGGGAAGTTACAGCAGAGGAAGCTGCAGGCGGAGCAGTAAAAAACATGCGGCCCACCAGAAGCCCTCCAGAGACTGTTGCTGTCCACCAGGAGAACGTGCAAGAAGATTCGGAAGAGGTTCCTGAAGATGAGGTGAATAAGCTCTGCCAGGCAGCTGGAAGGAGACAGAGAGATCGCACAGAAAAGGCTTCAATAACTCCACAATGCTTCGGATGCAGAGGACGCCACAGAAGAGCAGACTGCCGATTCCGGTTCGCCACTTGTAGAGCCTGTGGAAGGCAAGGCCACATTGCAGCCGTATGTCTGAGTCGTCAGAAGTACAACCTAAAGAAGAATTGCATCTGGAAGGTACCAAGGTCCCTAGCCAAAATAGGGTGGGTTTCTGCGCAACATGCAGAAGTATTCTAAGGACAGGCACACATAAACCCCTAAAAAAGAAGTTGTCCCTTAAAGTAAAGTTGCAAGGGGTTCCCTTATCCATGGAATTGGACACTGGTTCTGCTCTCTCCATAATTTCCCTCAACACATTCAGGAAGATTTGCAGCAGCAGTGGCTTTCGAGTGAAACTCAGGCTATCCAGTGTGATACTTACAGACTTTCAGAATTCTAAGGTGTGTGTTAAGGGGGAGGCCACTCTTAAGGTACAGTACAAGGATTTTGAGGGTCCTTTAGATGTGTTGGTTGTTGGGGGTTGACGTGCGAGTCTTATTGGACTTGATTAATTTGAGGCTCTGGGAATCCAGGTCACGGGGCTGCACCATTTGCAAATGTCTAGCCTTGCAGAAGTCTGCAGGGAATTTGAAGATGTATTTAGCTCTGAGCTTGGAACCTACAAGGGGCCTCCAGTTTTACTACGATTAGATCCATCCATAGCACCCATTAGGGTCAAGCCTAGGAGAGTTCCATTTGCACTTAAAAACAAGATTGATGCTGAACTGGACAAATTGCTCCAGCAGGGCATTCTAGAGCCTGTAGATTCGAGTCCTTGGGAAACCCTCATAGTAACGCCTTTAAAGGCTAATGGGGACATTCGTATTTGTGCGGACTACAAGTGCACACTAAACAAGGCACTACAGCAACACGCTTATCCAGTACCTGTTGTAAGTCACATTCTGGCTTCCCTAAAGGGGGGCGGATTTTTGTGAAGCTTGAGCTGGCACAGTCCTATCAACAGTTGCCTGTTGCTGAGGCAGCTGCTGAGGCTCAGACAATTGTGACTCCTAGAGGAGCTTTTAAAGTGAAGAGATTGCAATTTGGGGTAAATGTAGCCCCTGGCATTTTCCAGAGTATTATGGAAAACACACTGAAGGGTATTCCAGGAGTCTGTCCATATTTTGATGATGTCCTCATTGCAGGAGAATCACCTCAAAACTTGGCTGAGAGATTAAGGGCTGTCTTGCTTCATTTTAGGGAAGCAGGTCTCAAGTTAAAAAAGGACAAGTGTAAGATAGGAGTCAATTCTACTGACTTTTTGGGATTCAGGATAGATGCTCAAAGTATACACCCTTCTGAAGCTAAATTAAAGGCCATTCAGCAGGCCCCAAGCCTTAAGTCTAAAGAGGAACTACAAGCCTTTTTGGGGCTACTAAACTTTTACCATGCCTTTCTGCCTAACAAAGCTGCTATAGCTGAGCCCTTGCACAGGCTGTTAGACAAACAAGCCTGTTGGCAGTGGACTAAGGTCCATGAAAAAAAGTTTCAATGAGGTTAAGGCCTTACTTCTAATGCTGTACTGGCTCACTTCAATGAGCAGTTACCTGTTTGCATTGCCTGCGATGCCTCTCCATATGGAGTGGGGCCAGTTCTTAGCCATCTGTTGGCTGATGGGACACAGGTCCCTGTGGCTTATTATTCCAGAACCTTGTCTTCTGCTGAGCGGAACTACATTCAGATTGACAGGGAAGCACTGGCCATTGTGGCTGGCATTAAGAAGTTTCATGATTTCATATATGGCCGCCATTTCATGGTATACAGTGACCATAAGCCACTGCTAGGGTTGTTCACCACAATCAAACAGACCCCACATATTCTTTCTCTGCGTATTGCTGCGTTGCTCCATTTTCCTGTTAGCATATGACTACTCTTTAATTCACAAGCCTGGAAAGGAAATGGGTCATGCTGATGTTCTGAGTAGATTACCCCTTCCAACACTGGAGCCTGATCCTGCTCCAGCCATTAATATTCTGTCCATTCAAGAACTGCCTGCGTCTCCCCTCAATGCAAGGGATGTGGCTGCAGAAACTGCCACTGACCACACGTTCACACGCGTTCTGTCATGGTGTTGTCAGGATGGCCTGACAGATTCCCTGATACTGAGTTTCAGAGTTTCTGGCAAAGAAGACATGAGTTGTCCACTTTCAAGGGTTGTCTGCCATGGGGAAGTAGGGTAGTAATCCCTACCTCATTGAGGACTAGAGTGCTGCATTCTTTATATGAAGGACACCCTGACATAGTCAGGATGAAGGCACTTGCACACAGCCATTTGTGGTGGCCTGGCCTCAATAAAGCCATTGAGGCTCAAGTGCATGGGTGCCATGGGTGCCAACAGTCCTGGCCTGAAATGCCTCAGGCCCCAGTTCTTAGATGGGAGAAAACTCAAAACCCATGGTCCAGGGTACATATAGATTATGCTGGGCGCTTTCAGGGGCAATTCTTCTTGGTTGTTGTTGATAGCCATTCTAAGTGGCTAGAGGTTGTTCCTGTGTCCTCCACTACTGCTGCCAAGACTATCCAGGTGCTGAGAAGTATTTTTGCAACTCATAGCCTTCCAGATGTTCTAGTTTCAGACAACAGTCCTCAATTTACCTCTTCTGAGTTCCAAGTTTCCCTTCAGGCCAACATGATACGCCATGCAACTTCTGTTCCTTTCCACCCATCCACCAACGGAATGGCTGAACGTATGGTGCGCACCACAAAGGATGCCCTTAAAAGACTGACTTACGGTGACTGGCATCACAGGTTAGCAGACTTTCTTCTTGCACATTGCACCACACCCTGTACAGCCACCGGGAAGAGCCCTGCTGAATTTCATTGGGGTCACCGGCTTATTACTAAGCTGGACAGGCTGCATCCAGATAGGGGGGCGTCCCAGGTGTTGCATCCGTGGGCACAGAGGAGTCTGCAAGTGGTGCTCTGGTCTGGACTCAGAACTATGGGCCTGGTCATCTCTGGGTACCAGCTGTGGTCTGCAAGGTCTCGGGGCCCTTGTCCTATGAAGTGTCCCTGGAACACGGCCGCGTTCTTCGGCGGCACATAGATCAGCTGCGTGAGAGGCTGGAGTCTCACCCTTCTGCTCCTGGCTCTGCTCTGGGGAGGGGGCAGGAAGGTTATAGAATACATTCTGAGGATCAATGTCAGTAGCCAGTGCCGGCAGTTGAAGAGATCGTTGATCCTCCATCCCGAGATTCCGCAAGTGCTCCAAACAAGAATTCATGGGACAGAGAACTACCCTACACAACAAGACGCACTCCAGCCAGGGAGTCACCCCGGGGGCATTCCACATTTTCCACATAGAAACAGTAACACTCCAGACAGGGAAGATAACCGGGGGTATCCACAGAACTCACAGAACACGCAAGAACTGGCAACCCAGCTAGGAAGCAGGTTCAATTCTGCAACTGTTTCCAAAAGGAGGTCCTATGTAAGGGGGGCAAGCAGAGAGGCCTCTCCTGACTCTGGCACCTCAGGCATGACCTTGGGGTCCGCCGAATACTGGGGTTACCTTACACACACCTGTTTCACAGGGCATGTCCGAAAACGGTCGCCTGCTCGAGGACATACCTGTAGGTTCTCAGGAACCATCCAGAGTAGTTCTGGAATCCTCAGCCAACTCAGAAGGTTGGGAGAGTGCAGCTGCTCTCACAGAGCCTGGGGGAAACTCTGGCATGTCTGCCGGTATCCCTATCAGGGGTCACCTGCAACACCTGTACATAAAAGTCCTAATCTAGCGAGCCCATCAGATGGCCGGTGGGCCAGGCACCCTTAAGGTCAAATCCTGGTCTGTCCAGTCGAGTAGGGGAGCTGTCAGCTTCCTCATCCTGCAAAGGTCCCAATGGGTTAAGGGCCCTCCTAAACACCTAGATGAGTATGTAAGGTTCTTGTCATCATAAGAACAGTACAAGTCTATGGTGAGGAGATGGAACCTATGTGGGTAGCAATAGAACCCGCGAAGCACACATTAGAGAGTGGCAAACAAGTTGTAGTAGAATGGAGTGTCTGTAGGATGGAAAGAAATTTATTATTATTTTATATTATTGTATGGATTGTAAGAGCAAGTACCGTGTGTGTTCTAGCTAAGGGGGGAGGGGTGTTGTGTCCTGAGCCTGCAAATGCAGGCTCGGGACATTGCAAGGTTCCTGGGCAATTGCAAAAGCTGCCTGGGACCAGACTGAGTGGCGCTGACCGAGTGCGCATGCGCAAGGTGTGAAAAGTGCATAGTGATGTTGCCATCTTGTCTGGGAAATTGGGACATATAAAAGGAGGCCTGGGTGCCTTTGCTCGTTGTTGGAGTTTGAAATAAGCCAATAAAGAGCTGTTCCAGAAACATGTGTATTCTTAATTCGCCATCGCTCCCAGGACTTAACACTAAGCATTTAGTTTTTCACAGTGCAGATGCCTTTGAGGTATATGTGAGCAAGACACAATTGCAACCTCTCTTCCACTGTTGTTTCTACTGTACCTTTGAATTTGTTGCTTCAGGTGTAGAGATAACACAGAGTTTCAAAACTAATAGCCAATGTCAGAACTGGTCTTCATGAATTGATACAACCCCTTTTATTTTTTATTTATTTAATCAATTTCTAAGACTGTCCACCCATAAATGACTGGGAGTGACTTACATTCATTCCAAAACAACATTATTAGAGAACTGCATTATAAAGGAAAAAACAAAGTATACAATACATAAAGTTACAATTATATAGCAATTAGTGGTGTCACACATTGCCTAGTCCAGTCTCTGTGTGAAGACCTTGGCCTGAAATGCCCTCTTGAAAGACAGCAAGCTCAAAGGCATGTGAATTTCAGGGGAGATGCTGTTCCAAAAGGCAGATGTAACTACAAAGAATTCTCCAATTCACATGAGATTACATTACGATACAGAACATGCCAACTCAGATAGGTCTTAAACAGACAATTGAAAAGAGATGATCTTGCAAATATCCAGATCCTATATCATGGAAGACTTTATAGATAACCACAATTACCTTGAATTGTATTCAGCAGTTGATAGCCAGCATAGCTTGGAAGGCATTAGTTTACATAGGCATTTCTTTCACCAGTTTAAAGGTATCCTCTGATTTTTAACCAGATCAAATACTTTATTCCACTGAGAAAACTGACAATGGTGTAGAACTTGTTACTAATTAAATCACCACCTTGATGCATGTTGAATAAAAATGCATTTAGTTTCCTTTTCTTTTAATAGCCACTTGCATTGGTCTTCCTGAATATCCAATTTTTTACAAAGTTAGAGTATTACTATATTTAATTGTCATGGAATATTAAATACTAATGACATTTAACAGCCAAGTTTAGGTTATAATAGTAATTTTTTGGAATGTTTTCCAGGTGCCACTGTTTATTCCTGCTCTGTTTTCCTTCACCTGTCTCTTCATGGTTGCACTGTCACTTTATGCTGATCCGGTTAATACTGGCATTGGTTTTGTAATTACAATGACAGGTATCCCTGCCTACTACCTCTTTATTATATGGGACAAGAAGCCAACATGGTTTAGGAGATTTTTAGGTGAGTAAATGTTGAGCAAAGTTGATATTTTTGTATTTATTTATAAAATTTATAGGCTGCCCATGTTACCTCAAGGTAATTCTTATTATTAATCGATTTTTATAAAAAATGAATAAATTTGGAGCATATAATTTATTTTTTCATATCTTTACTATTCTCATGTCACATAATTTATTATCTTTCTTAATCTGATGTATCGTTGTGTTAGTTTAATTCAAGATAAGTAACAGAACTCATCTCACACAATTTATAATTTGAAACACAAATGCATTCCCCTTTCTAATACCCTTTCCATAAAAAAAGTGGCTCTCTAGTTCTCCTATGGCTATAAAACCATCTTTATGTGTGTCTGTCAAATGACATATGAATTCTGGTTGGTAATTCCTTAAGTTTGTTGGGAGCGGAGGCAATTCATTTGGTAGGTATATGTTCCTGTAAGCATGCAATGGAATATTTTCTCCTGCACTTTCTCAAATATAATGTCTTTTTTCAACTATATTAAAGATTATAATATGACAACTGAACAATTGTATGGAAATTTCTTTGAGTGTACTGCAGTACATTATGTTTATATGAATTGTAGAGAAGAAACCAGTAGACATTTTCTCACATTTATCTCATCGAAGTCACAATCCCTTTTCTGCCTGTTAATACAATAACTGACTTTTGAATTAACATCAATGGTTTTATGTATTATGGGCCACCAGGAACTAATGGACAAATGATTTCAGCCTTACTGTGATTCATCAGGTACAGATAGTCATTACAGGTAGTAACAGATCTTATGGAATTCAATTGGAATTAGTCCAATGTAATTTTTATGCAGTGCACTGGATTTTATAAACAATAGTGACCTTGGTTGCCAAAGATTGGCAGGAAGGATATAGACAATCTATAAGTATATACTCATTTTTCTGGACTCTTAGTTCTATGATAATACCACCAGAGATAGGAGACTATTTTAGCATATATTCCTGTGGTTTATATATTACTGACCCCAGAAAGCAGCGTAGGACCACTTTGGTTGTAACTGAAACTTAGCAGATACATTTTAGTTATTTCAAAATTCTTTCTCTACTCTTAAGTCAACACCTCTTTGGTGCAAGATATGGCATTATGTTTAAGTTGTTGAGCACAGATACTGGTTGAATACTAGAAAGAAATTTTTAGCAGCAGAATGTCAGTACTATACCTTTACCTGTGTTCAGGCAGAAGCCAGGTAATTTTCTGTCAGGGATCCTTTAATTTGTACTCTTGCACAGGAGAGGATGTTGGGCTTGAAGGGCTAATGGCCCTATCTTTTCAATTGAAATTCCTGTGAAAATCTCAGCATTTCAATTAATTTTAGGAAACATTTTCAGCTGAGACCATTAGGAATCTTTTATACTACAAAACTAATTTTGGCCTGGGGAACAATGTCAGAGTTATAATGGGTATGAACATATAATCCATATCATTCCTTCCTCTATGTTGCAGTCCTAATGAAAACCCCAGTACCTGTGATTCTTCTAAAAAGAAATCCCTTAATGTAGCTGCAATTAATTTTAATTAGCTATGCTTTAACACACAAGTTGCTGCTGCTTTTGCAGAAAGAAAAATCTGTGTAATGGTGTTTTTGCACATATGTGTGTGTGTGTGTGTGTGTGGGTGGGTGTATGTTTGTGTGAGAGGAGTTGTACAGGCTAACGGGCTATTTTTCAAGAATGTGAAATGGAATATGGTGATTAAAAGATAGTTACCAATTAATATCAATGTATAAAATTACTATGTATAAATATATAATATCTAAAGTTTCATATTTTTAATATTTTCAATATCTACAATAAAATAAATTACTGTGCGATAGTCAAAATATCCTCATAGCTTTATTTATCTACTTATAAGTATTTACAAGTATTGTTTTCTTCAAAGAATTGTTATAAACATAACAAATATAAAACAAACTTGTGTGTTGGGAAACACTTTTATTTATCTAACCTTATGTCTATAGGATTCTGTAGTTAGCTCTCTCTGCCTCAGAAGAGTCTTTGTATTTTATTCTTTCATCAGATAGATACAATTTCATAATCTGTTGAGTGTGGTTTCATAAATCAGTATGGCCACAGGATGCCAGTGTTGAACCATTTCATTTAACTAAAAAACATTATACTTTTGAGATTTCTGCTCTTGGTAACAATGCAGTGATTTTTTTTGAGCACTGTGACTATTATTGTTTCCTGGTAGAAGAAAATATAAATACCATAAATGAAACATACAGACTCTGAAAATCCTTTTTAAATTCAATATACAAAATAGTTTGTAATTAGAACGCTATGCTTCCATCTCATGGATATCATCTTTGGTATTCTAATAGTAATTATTTTGTTAAGGAGACAGCAATATTTTTTTTTCATGGATATCAATAATACTATATGAAGGTAACTATAGATCTTTGTTCCTTCTTAAGGCAACAGTGGCTTCGATTTTAAGATGTGTTACTTAAATATGGATAGTCATCAATGCCTTCTGTATGCAAATATAATTTGATCAAAAAGATTTCCTGATTTTTCTAAAAATATTTTTCAGAAATAAATTAAATGATTTCAAGTAAGGAAGAGGGCATATGAACTAGTTTAATGGGACATTCGCAGATGCAAAATTGCAATATAAATAAATTTATTTCAACTTTAAAACCAATGCTTTTCATGGGTGTCAAATGAACATGGTGGAACCGAAATATATTGAAACATCTTAGCACTCTTAAATGGTTGTTCTCACTGGATTTTTAGTGTATGCATGTAAAAATCTGATTTTAGGGAACAGAAGGGAGCTATTAGACAGGCAGAGTAGGAAGTTCTACCCTAAATTCCAATAACAGTTTTTATTTTATTTATATTTATTTGTTTACCTTTACATCTTACTTTCCTTACTATTTGGAGAAAGGAACTCCAAATAGTATAGAGGGACAATAATATTTTTTATTATAAGAACAATCCTATGTGGTAGTTTAGAATGAGAGAAAGCAAATGGTCCAAAGACACTATATCAAATAAATCTAGCAGGAATAGGTAATTATAATTGCAATACATCTAATGTACTATTGAGAATAAACATTTGCCAGGTTAGGTTTTTAACTTATTTAATTTATTTTTATGTTTGTATTACTTTGTAAAGGCTATCTCCTTAAAAAGTTTAATAAGATTCAAATTCTTAAAAAAATGAATCACCAGAGTGTTTTTATATACATTTTGTGCAACACACACTTTGGATTTGAATCAAAATGTCAGTTGTTTCATTTAAATTCTATGTCTCTCTCATCTCTTTCTTTTTGTCTATAGTCCTATTCCAAATGTTCTGGAAAAAAAAACCTATTTGAACTTATATCTGAGTAAACATGAACAGATTCTCATATTTTGTTCTTTCACAGACAACATGACATCAGCATTGCAAATAATCTTAGAAGTTGTTCCAACAGAAGAGAATCCAAATTTGTGATCTTCAGCTAGAAGAATCTGAATTGTTAGACAAACATTAAAATCCTCATTGATTGAATGAACAATATATATATATATATATATATATTGCCAAAATGGCTTTTAAAAAAGTTTTACTGGAAAACTTGGAAACGTTATATTGGGGCATCAGATTTAGCCTGATACTTGATGGAAACTTTAAACAGAATTGTTATAGATGTATGTGTGTACATATACATAAAAATGTTATTTGATACTGTAGCCAATTGTTTGTAGGCAACTGTTTTAAAACTGTTGTAAAATAGTGCTTATCTTCTGCTTTGTAAATGGAGTTGATATGGTATTTCCAATATTTTAAATGTATAAGATGTTTTTCATAGTGATATTTACTATGAACATTTGTTTTAAAAATGTTCACGATAGCTAGAAATATTAGAATGGATTATATTCTCCCTACTGGACTTGATGTAAGACAACAGTAAAAGAATTGTATTAATAGAAAATTATTCCAATTTTTTAAAGCAACACTTTTATGGTTCATTGGAAACACTATTGCATTAAAAACAACTCTATTTTTCCCCCAGTCTGTTGTGGCTAGGACACCTAATTGTTATGACACCTAAAGAACATACATATAATAGGTAAAAGAGCATTCTTTGTCAATACTTCATAGCAAAAGTAACTTCCATCTGAGGTGATGTAGATATATTTGTTCCATTTTACTGTCTCTTTATTGCAAATCAACATAAATTCACTATTTATTTGAGGTTCTCCATTTACTGCCTTGTTATTGCAAATCAGCATGAATACACCATTCATTTGAGGAGCTTCCAGATCAGCATTTGATCAAGGAAAAGCCATATGGCTTGGGCTGGGTGTTTTGTATTAAAACTCACATTAACCACTCTGGCAAATGATAAGGGATTTTAAAGATTTTATTTTAAAAATTTGGACACTACATTATCTACTCCAGCTTTCATGATGCAGTTACTGTACCCTGTTTTACAGATATGGGCAGGCAGATACATTAGCTTAGGTACTTAGATACTGTAAAAAGTTTATGGCTTTTATGTTTTTCCTTTTCTATTATTTTTTCCACAAAAATATTTGAAACAGAAGAGTTCTATATTTTCTAACTGGTAGTCCTAAGTACTGTGTATCTACTATGGAAGCATTTTTTGATGGTACTTTTAAATCACCCAGAGCAGATATAGGCAGTCTCCCTTTTTCTGTTGAAGAAGGGAAGGGTTTATTTCCTTCAGAATACATTCATTGCTGTTATCTAGTGCTATTCAGTCCTAACTGTATATCAATGCTTCAGTTGTTGTTGTTGTTGTTATTATTATTATTATTATTTAGTGTATGGCATACAATGTCAGGGAAATCTACAAATGCTACAAACAATGCAGTCCTGACAGCCTAAATTGCAAATTCATTCTGTTCAGCACTTGTGTGCTTATTCTTGGTGCACTGCAGGGGGAAAACTAGTTTACACCGGGTGATTAGCAGCACTCGGGTTTTTGGCTCTTCTGGGTTCCTCTGCTGGTC